GCCAGGCTAACCCAACTCTGCAACCCACCCAATCCCAGAAGGTTCTCCCACGAGGGATAAACACTATAGAGTACCCGTGAGCAGTGCACCATTTGCTAGAGCTCGCCGGATGCGATGAAACTCACACCTCCCGTTTATTTACGATTATCAATAAATAAGTGGCAGTTCTCACCCCTCGGGGTCTATTGCGATAATTTAGCTTGTAAACCGAGTGATGTTCTATGATCTCAGCCGAGAGTCACGATATCTTACTCTAACTTACTGGCGGGAACTACTTAAACTATCGCACCTCATACGAAGCGCGTGCACATTTAACTTATCTCTTCGCCCGATCATTACCCTATTTTTTACTGCCCTTTTGCAATCACCCCGTAAAACGGGCGAACATATATATGTCCTCCAAGCCCATTGACTGCCAGCTTCTCCTCAGGATTGATTGAGCTCAATCCACTTTATAGTTTTCTTCGTGCCGTAAATCTAGCACCTATCGATAGGCACCCATCATTTTCGGTGGCTACCGATCGGGTTGGGCGGGAATGCACCTTCCTTGGGAGGGGTAGGTCTCTTTTATAACGGTTTATTTCCTTATAGGGGGTGAGTCCTTTTGTAAGGTTTGTTGCATCCCTCTTTTCATTTGTCTGGGTGGGTGACCGAAAGCTAGTCTAGTTCCTCTACGGTACTCGAGCACTTGTGGCTCTGGCTGCCTCCCTTTATTCCAGAGAGGGCTCAGGCTGTTTCTTGGGTGGAAATCATTAATCCCTCTCGGGAACTCTCGTCTCTGAACCGGGTCCACCAATTATGTGAGTAGTAAAATACCGATCTCTAGATTCTCGGCTACTTGAATGCGTAACCGGGGAATTAGTAGTGGAGGTTAATACAATGAACTTGAATTCCTCATGTTCGTTGTTTTGTACGGCACTGTACTCTAGTACTTGTGCCGTGGCTGGGTGCGGTAAAGTACACTACCGGTACATACCCGAGGGCATACCGAGAAATGTAGCTCAGCGAAAATTTTGGTAAAGGAGACCACTTCGGCATAACAATATAGCTTTGAAAAAATGACAAGCCGAGTCAATTGGTTGCCCAGAAGTTAAGAGAGCTAGTCTGCTACAGTAAGAGAACTAGACTATGTGAACCCAAGCCAGAATGTATAACCTCCTCCAGATTTTTCCTTGTGCAGTATCTTTCGGTATGCCCTCCGGCACGTTGCTCGCATACCCGTATAGTACAATACTCGGATGCTAGAGTCAGTCCATGGGTGTCCCAAATGAAAAATCATTCCTAGTTTGCAGCTAAGCCTGGTTTGTTTGTAAGGGTGAAGGGTTCGGTGAGTGCTCTGGGATTCTTTAACACCTCTATCAAGAGCATATATGACTATTTTCACTAATAGGACAGTGTTAATGGATTATCACCACCTCCACCCGATTATTTAGGTACAGTACAGTATGAGCACAGTGTACAGGCACCTGTGGCAACTTGAAAGAGAATTGGATTCGATTCTTTTATGTTTATGACGTGGACTTGGCCATCATTAGCAGCACGGTGGGTGACCATCGCGGGTTGGGGCCTGACCATGCGACGGGCTCACTCGACGAGCACGTTGTGCTCCTGCGGCTGCTGCTTCCGCGACTGCTGCCTGGAGATAGGGCTGACGAGTTTCGTCCAACTACAGAGCCTGAGCGGAGACTTCGATGGGAGGTGGCAGGCTTCACGGAGGGTCCCCGTAAGGGGGAAGCATCCAGAATATTAACTCGATAGATTGATACAAGACTACAAGGGACTTGCTTACAAGATGGCATCAGCCTGAAGGCTCGGAAAGTTGCCGGTGTTGGAGTACGGTACGTTGACCCTGGCAACCGTAGCAGATGATGCCACATTGACTGCGGCATCATCATGCCGGCGGATAGGAATCGTGATTGTTTTTGGTAGTGATAGCACCATACTGGTAATCTCTTGAAACCCACTATCTCCGGCAGCCCTTTAATCTCCGGACTCTGAGTCAAAAGTTCCCGGAAGGGACAGCGTATTTCCAACACGGTATAAAATCGGCGCACTGGATGTGTTTGATCTTCTTAACTGGTATTATTCGCAATCCTCTTAACCCGTCAAACTTAATCTATCATGGGCGATTTCCGCTCATAATTTGGTATGGATATTGTTGTGATGGATAAGCAACTGCGCAAGCAACCTCTGGGTGTTTGGTCGATCTCGAGATCCCTGGACCAGAGCTCAGCGGTGCTCGAGTAATCACCTAACATTACAAGATGGTTCCCTCACCGTGGGAGACCTGTTGTGTAAGGTGGAGAGGGGGCGTTGTTCTTAGGATACAGTACAAACCGCCGGGCTTAAATATATGAAGACTTAGTCCACGCCTCTGATATTGAGACCCCGTCCCCTGGTCGTAGTCGATAGCGTGGGCATCTGGGGGTCCCACAGTTGCTACACTAGCACTAGCACTGGTACTTGTACCGCGTTTGCACTGCCAAGATGCGGCTCATCTGAATTAGGGTGGACTCGAGTAAGAATGGCGGCGATCTTAGATGCACCGGTCAGGTCTGACCCCATGGGGCCGCCAACCCACTTCGAGCGCCTACAGTGACCAAAAGAGATACGTAAGGCTTGCAAACGCCGTGCGATTTCAAAGGTGTCGGCACCATCGAAACACTGCACGCTACACCGCTGTTTATGATACTACCGGTATGGTATTTGTTGATTGAACTTTTCACAGTCCTTTCTCGCCAGTTTTTCGATCCCGTCTGAACCAATAACTTACAATTTCTCCAGATCACCGCTGCCATAGCCGTTGCCGTCAGGTTCTGGCAGTGTGGAAACCTTTGCTCAACTCAGAGGAACTTAACGATGACTCTGAAGCCTGCACCTGCTTTATCCGGCCACCGTACGTAGGGTACAGTACACGCACAAAATTGTAAACACAGTATGGTTGCACTGCAACATCTGCATCTGTAGGGTAATGCATCAATTCACAAGCATGGTGGCTTAGTGGATGAATGGATCATGGATAAACCCTAGTGCCCGTATGATACTTGGTGGGAGTCGAGCTATCGTAGCTCCGAGAGCACGAACAAGCTGGTTGAGCTCGCGAACAGTTACTGCACGGTATTCCTCATCCCAACAACAACACGTTTCGGAGTGCCCACCTATTGGTGATTTGCTCCGGACCGGATGGTGGGTTCTTTTCGTAAACTACTCACAGGTTTGTCCGCTCGAGTACTGAAAGTTTTGGAATCGGCAAAGTGTATGTGAGACCCCGCCCAAGAGAGATGTCGGGCAGAGCGGAGGTAGGGCTCGTCAGAATATAGATGCCAAGAGTGTGAGTCAGGGCAGAGATGAGAGGCTCAATTCTATGATTGGAAAGATACGGTCTGGCGTGCATAAGGGACTTGAGAACTGGTATCATACAAGTATGATAGAATGAAAACAGTGTCAACGCATGTACGAGTACAGTACCGTACAGAACCGGTATCGTTGCTAATACAGTACAATGCTGACCGCTCGAGTTTAGGGAACGAGAGAAAGGACAGGGGACGGTCTCACCTTGCAGTAAAAACATGGTAATTGGCCCGGAAGCTGAACGAACGAGAACCTGCACTGAAGAGGCTACGGTTGCTCTGTCCATGACTCAAAATTGCTGCCTTGTCCTTGGTTCCTTCCGCACGGCGTGGCGCTCTGGTTTGTGCATTCAACATCCTCTTCCTTTTCCTCCCAATATTTTTTTCTCTTCAAGCTCAGCCAGCAACTATCACAGATATCTATGGTAAGGCCGGCCCTGCGCATATCCTGTCTGTGCAAGTGCACTTTTCAAGTGACACATTAGTAAAAACATTTCAACCCAGGACGATACCCTTCTCCATACGGTAGACTGGCAGAGGAGGGTGTGTGGACTGCATTCGACAGAAATAATTCCTCCAGAAGCATTGGAGCGATATCAAATTGCGCAGGCTTGCGCGTTAGCGATTGGTACAGGTGGGCGAGTACTTGTAGGGTCCGTGTGTGCTGTTCGCAGGTCAGAGCAGAAGAGGAGTGGCAGCCCCGCCTCCTGCCCATATTTCCAGGCCATAGTATCATAACTGGTATTTGGTTTGACCTGAACCACGGCGACATAGGTTTTATAAACCTTCGCTATGTGTATCGTATTGGCATATCAAGTGTTTATATTGTATTACAGTAATGTTTCTCTTCTCCATCCCTCGCTCAGTTTACGGTGGGGTAGGTTTTATTTCGGGAATGTATCCTACCCCTCTATGTTGACTATGATACAGCACCGTACTTCACACAAAACCGTGCTACAAACAATCATCATAGCTTTCAAGAGGGCGGGGGCTTAGACAATCTTTCTCAGCTTCTGAGCTACCGGCAGCCGGTACTCGAGTGAATTACAGGAGTTTTCCCCTTCCTTTCTCTATTCTGTCGGGGAAGAATTTTTCCTCGTCTACCTTGACGGAGAAAAAAACCATGCCTTCTCGAGGAGTTGCGTGGTATGATGCTATACCGACACAGCAGAGGGTTTGCAGAACAGAGCCGCAGGCTTGCACTCTCCCCCTTCTCTCTCTCCAAGGCTGCCACCTCAACAATAACTTAATCCTATTGAACCGTGCTGCGCAATGCGGGATATGACACGGTACTCCAGAGCCCCTCTTCCACTGTACCGTACTAGTACCCTACCGGTACCGTGATATGGTTTTTGCCACTCGGTATTTCATGCTTTTGGGCCTTATAGATCTGACTCCTCCGCCATGTCAACTTTCTTTCTGATCCCTACCAATTAACAATAATAATAACCATAATATCTTCTCTCACCATTTTTCCCCCTTCTCCGCCCCATAATATATCCCCTAGAGTCAGAGCTTAGCTCTCGCTCTTCACCCCTTCCTTTCAATAATAAATAGCCAGCACTCGGAACCTTCTGCCCCTTTCTCTCAATCCTAAACCTGTCCTCCCGTTAAAAGTGATCACCTTGCTGAATCCAGTACATCATACCCCACACATTGGCATTAAGTTACTTGTTTATCTTGCGGTGCGTGGCTGAGATACCGGTATTTGTTCCGCCACCTAATCCGCTGATTCGCGGCTCGAGCTTGTGATTGATTACCTTAGTTGTCGCCTCCTATCTTCCTTCGTTGAGCTGTTACCTCTTCCTTCCCCCTCCAACACCGGCTATACCTTGTTATCCATCAGCCATTTCCTCCATCATTTTGAATCCATCATTCTTCATCAATCTGTCCACCTTTATTCCCTATACCTTTCACATTCCATAAATTTCTGTTGCTTTTGTTTTTGTTTGAGAATTTGTCCTTTTTCGCCACAAGTACGGAAAATCCTCCCATCAGCTGCAGAGGGAGCTTCGCGGCATAATGACTTCTAAACCTACTTCCCCGGCAGAGGAAGTTTCTGCCAATGAAACTACTCCTTCCGAAACCTCTGTCACGTCGACCGCTTCCACTGCTACTCCTACCCCTACTTCTACGGATGGTAGTGCTACTCCCTCGACATCGCACGATTCGGCTCCGGGCACTGCTACCGCCTCGCAGTCTACTACAACTGTAGCAGCTCCCGAAAATGCAGCGGCGAAGACGAAGAAGCCGATGTGTAAGCACAAGAAGCTGAAGGCAGAGGAGAAAGAAAAGGAAAAGGAAAAGGAGAGGGCCAAGAAGGAGCAAGAGGAGAAGGAGAAGGCGGAAAGGGAAAAAGATGAGCGGGAGAAGAAGGAGAAAGAGGAGAAAGAAAAGGAGGATAAAGGAAAAGAGGATAAGAAGGGTAGAGGGAAGGATAAAAAGAAAGATAAGAAGAAATTGAGATCGAAGAAGTCGAAAAAGAGGAGTAGGAAGTCGGATAGTGAGTCGAGTGACTCATCCTCTTCGAGCGACTCATCCTGTGCCTCAGATGACAGCGATAGCGATAGTTCCTCATCTTCCTCCTCTTCCTCGGATTCGTCTTCAGATTCCGAACTAGAAAACGAAGCATTGGCGGCTGCGGTACGCTTGATTTTAGCCAGAAAGTCATCAAAGCGACGGAGACGTGAGAAATTGAAAGCTAAGAAGAAGGCTAAGGCAAGGAAGGAGAAGAAGAAAGCCAAAAAGGCCGAGAGGGAAGCGGCAGCTGCAATGATGGGCGAAGGTGGCGAGAATCCTCCAGAACCAGGCGAGGAGGAGGGGGATGGAAAAGAGAGAGCAAGTGTCTTGGAGTACAAGAGGGTCGATGAATGTGAGTCCTCCTGCCTCTAGCATTACGCTTTCCATTCGCTAGCCTTCTTCTTGTCATTTGAGCTTTATAATATTAGTTTCTAACCTTCAGGAAAGTGTGGGATAAGAACATACACGATTATACGATAACCGATACTGTTGCGCATACAAAGACCGACAAGTACTCCTCGTTTATCTTTACCGTTCGCCGTGTCTTCGATTACGAAAATAAATATGTGGAGACCATGGTTGATATCAAATCCATCCTATTGAAGGAGGCCTTAACTGAGATCATCGGTGACGTTAGGGGAGTCTCTCTTGTTGAGGACGTTCCCGAGGTTGATCCTAATATGCTGTTCAACTTCCTCCCCGAAATGGAGGCCTGGGTTGCGAAGAAGGCCGAGTCCAAGGAACTGAAGGAGCCTCCAAAAGAACCTCCTAAGCAAAAGAAGATGGAACCTGGAAAGCCTGAAGATATTCCTCTGACACCCGAGGAGATTTCTCAACAGATCGATCAAGTCAAGCTCTTGATTGGGTATTTGAACACAGATTACGCTGGTGTTAAGGCTACTTTGTATCCTCTCCTTGCGAACTCAATGATTACCTTCGACTTGTTGTGGGCTCTGCTAAAGCCCAACACTATGATGTATACTACTTGCGCTGGTAGTAATGAGCCGAGGGCGTTCAAGCTAGAGTACGCCCAGAAAGAGTCTAGTTTTATGAGGGGTAAATGGTGGGGTATTGAGGGTAAATACCTGGAGTATGCTGGTAAGGACAGCAAGCCCTCCGAGGCAAACAAAGAAGTAGGCGGTTTCGGTTGGGGTACTATCATGGTTGACATTGATGGGTTCAAGGGAGCGAGAAAAATTTCTTCGCTATCCTGTTATCCATTGGAGTATAGGAAAGATAAGGACACCATGAGGGTATGTCTTAGAAGTGTTAAACGCGTATTAGAGGCACGTTTACTAACCTTCTTTAGGAAACCCTGGTTGAACGTGGCCGCAAATTTGTTTCATTAAGAGGAATGCAGTACAAGATGCACAAGGGGCTGGCGTTCATGAAAAAGAAGAGGCAATACGCCAAAGTTCATGTAAGGGAGCTAGGAGCCTTCTTTTAGAGCTTGTTTTTAACATTGGTGTAGGTCAAAGGGCGTATCATGATTGACCCCGCTACATTCCGAAGGATCAATCCGAATTATCTTATCTCTTCAGTCAAGTCCCGCAACAACGACGAAGAGGATGATAATCAAGTCAATTTCTTTGATGCCGAAGGGCAGAATGGCTCTTCGCCTTCCTCGGAAACCGGTGACTGCACTGACTGCTGTTGTGGTGGCGAAGGGGAGGAGGAGGAGGAAGGGGAGAATGAGATACCGGCAGAAACTGAGAAGCATAAGATTGTGACAGATGGAAAAGGGGCATTTTATGTGGTCACTGAACAAGAAGCGAATGATAAGTCAATGAGGGTGGAGGCCCTGCCAGAGGACGGTGATGAAGAGGCGGAGCCTGTGTTCACTGACGATGAACTTCTTACTGCTTCACCAGTCGTGCTTGGATGGTCATTCAATGAAAAGCTCTGGTTGGAATTCACTGTTTCCGGAGTTGAGGAAATTCAGTGGAACGAAAAGGCTTTTGATTCCCTTGTGCTTGCCGAGGAGCAAAAAGAGATCGTCAAGGCATTGGTCGAATCGCACTCTGGTAATAACATCGCATCTGCCACTATTGACGATGTTATCCAAGGCAAGGGTCGTGGATTGGTGTCGGTACTTCACGGACCTCCGGGTGTGGGAAAGACTTTAACCGCTGAAGGAATTGCCGAACTTTTGAAGAAACCCCTGTACTGTGTTTCTTCGGGAGAGTTGGGAACCAACCCTGCAGTTCTTGAGCACGAACTTAACAAGATCTTGGACATTGCTCACTCTTGGGGTGCTGTGTTGTTGTTAGATGAGGCTGATGTGTTCTTGGAGCGGAGAACAATGGCTGATATGCATCGTAACGCTTTGGTGTCAATTTTCTTGAGGCTCTTGGAGTACTTCCAGGGCATCTTGTTTTTGACCACCAATCGCGTCGAGACATTTGACGATGCATTCCAGAGCAGGATTCACGTTGCTCTTCGGTATAACGAGTTGACATTCAAGGCAAAGGTAAAGATTTGGAAAATGTTCTTGGAGATGGTTCGTGTCAAGTACGGTGAGGATGCGCCTGAGGTTTTGAGCCAGGAGGAGATTGAGTGGTTAGCAAAGAAACACCTCAATGGCAGACAGGTACGATTTTCTTGCTTTTGACAAAGTGTGCTTACCAGGTGTTAACATTTATGGACGATACAGATCAAAAACTCTGTCAGAACGGCACAGGCCTTGGCGAATAATAAGAAGGAGCGGCTCCAGATGAAACATATCAGAACTGTTCTGAACGTTGCTGAGGGGTTCGAAAATGACTTGAAGGGGACTGGCCAGCTAGATAGCATGCATGCGTATGCTTGATGGAGGCTGCCGGAATAGATGGACAGACGGAATAGGTATTTCAATTGTTTTACTGTCATGACCTTCTCGTTTGTGGCTGAGCCTTTTCTTCTCAATTCTCTTCTCATTAGCGATGTTTTTATAATATCATACCTCACCTATCTTTTTGTAACATGTTACTATATTTTTTTGCTCTGCTTTTTATGCCTTTGAGGGCGCTTTTTTTTTTCTCTTGTATTTTTTTCACTTGTTTCTATGGTTGAATATTTCAGTCATTTCATTTTGGCTCGGAGCGGGTTACGGTTATGTTATGGTTCTGGGCGATTTACAGGTCATAATGGGTGTTATGATGTTTTTATACTGGGAGGCGGGGATTTATGAATTGGGGAGTGAATAAGAGAGGCAGGGAGAGGAGGAGAGGTGTTTTAGGCATGGATGGGGCAGTGTAGAGTATACTGTTTGGGCGAGCATTGGTTAGAAGGGGTAGCCTGAAGAATAGAGAGGCGGCTGGGGAGATTGAATTGTGGGCCAATCGGCTGATAGTGATGCTAAATTGATTGTTGAAGCTGCTTACCAATTATTGGTGGACTACAGGTACAGTACTGTACAGTACAAGTACCGTACAAGCCACTGGTGCGTCTTCTCAGTCCCAGATACCGGTACTTTGACTCGCTAATTTAATTCTTGAAAGACCTACAAGTAGAATCCCACATCCAAACTTGGAAATCCAAGACATTTTCAAACGCCCTAAAACGGTTATTTTCGTTCCATTTGGAGAATCCTGTCGCGGAGAATGCCCGATGCGGGAATGGGAGACATCAGGACGGACAAACACGGCTCGCGTATCCGGGCCGCCAAGAATAAATTTCAAAACGCAGCGGCTGTTGATCGGTTTCGTCTATTTTGTTTTGATAGCCAATGGTTGCGTGTATCGGGTTTTGGCTACTCCTTTGGAAGCGCGCGATGGGGCAACGTTCATCTTTCTCTAGCTTGTTGCAGTCTATGGCTGCGAGAGAGATCATATTAACAATAGTAGGGATGATAGGGTATATAAGATGGTAAGGTTCGCTGTGTGACTTCTTTTCTCATTTCTATATCCTGCAAAATATTCATCTCTACGAGTTTCCTTTCTTGTTTATCTTTCCTTTCCTTTCCTTTTCTTTCTGAATCCTATTATATTATATTGACGACTGGGTCGTTCTATTTTTTACGATTCTTATATAACTGGGTTATATTTTTACTCTTTCCTTCCTTCATCACTTTCCTCTGTATTACGGTCGATCATTCACGTTCACATTTACCTATCCCCAACTATTGCAACCAGAACTACAATCGCTGGAACGAAAATGCTGAACCTAACCCGCTTCTCCCGCTTCGGCACAGGTCAATGCACAAAACCCATCTTCCTCTTCTCCCTCATCGCCCTCTCCATCTCCCTAATCTTCACCTCCTTCCTCTTGACAGGGAGCTCCACCCCATCACTCCGAAAGTTCTACCTGATAGAACTAAGTTACGATACCGATACCAGCAGTCCCTCCCCTGTAATCGCCAACCTAACATCCCTCATCTCCTCCGACCGTGGAAACAAGACATTCTCTACCGTTCGCGTGGGCTACCGCAGCTTATGCATCGACCATAGTGGCGACTGGGAGTGCGCGCGCGACGCTAGAGCCCTGAATCTCTCCGCGAAGGAGGTCGGCGGGGATCCCTTGCAACTGGTTGCTGTGGCAGATATCTATCGCAAGAGGATTAGCTTTAGCACACCCGTCTGGGCAAGTCTGGTGGTGTTGGGGGTTGCGTGGATCGCTACTGTTGTTTCCTGCCTGCCGGTTATTCCTGTGCACCCCATGTTCAAGAAGGTTGCTGCCGGAGCGGCGGTGTTGGCGGCAGTGACGTTGTTGGGTGGGATGGTATTGCAGAATGTTACTTCGTGAGTTGCCCTCTTCTTTCTCTCCCCCCCACACTACTTTCAATCGTATATAATACTAACTGGTGGGGCCACAGAACCGCCGTAGCGACACTCGTCAACCAACTTGGCCTAACCGCCATAAACGTACACCTCGGGAATATGATCCCCGTCTTCGGCTGGACTTCCTTCGCTCTGACACTCCTCTCGGCACTCGGTCTCAGCGCCGTGGTAGTGACGGAGTACACCCTTGAAAAGACACAAGAGAAAATAACGCGCAAAGCTGAGGAAGCGCTGTCTAGAGGCACCGGCGGAAGGATTGGTCCTGCGGACGTCAGGGAGTGGAAGAATGCGGTTAGCAGTATCAATGAGAGGGGTGGTAGCGCCGGGAGTGACACTGGATTGGTGGGAAGGGTAGGAGGAGGAGGAGCCGGGAGGGCCGCGATTGTCGGGCAAGGGGTTAGCCTTGCGACTAGTCTTATGAAGAAGAAGAAGATGAATGGGGATGGGAGACCGGTTACTGGTCACAATTTTGTTTGAGCGGTTTATTATGGGAACGGATGAGGTGGGTGGGGTAACGAATGGGTGGGGATTGCATTGATGGGTTGCACATTGGGTAGCATAGTCTAGCGGTTGCATCTGTTTGCTTGTTTGTCTGTTTGCTTGTATAGCTAACTTACCTGACGTCTGTTGCATAATTATGATATCACGTGGAGTCACATCGTGTTAAGTCGTAAATTAAACATTTGGGAGCATCACTACTATTCTTGGCGACGTGCGGAAACAGCAGGGTAACCGTAGCGCATGGCCGAGGGCTGGTTGGTCGGTTTGGACTTCTAGCCTTTACTCTTCCCAACCCAACAGCAGCGGACACGGAGCAGCAGATCAGCAGAAAAACATCAGCAACTCGATTTCGGGAATGCGTGATGTCGTCTCCTAGTAAGTCTTAATAATAAAGGAGAGACTATTGTCGTTGGCTGGTGCGACTTTGTTCTCGTGGAGCAGTTTTCAATGTTCGCGGCCCGGCTGCGACGATAGTTTTCGCTACCGGTACGCTCCTTGTGGGCCAAAAATATCTCTTCCGCGAAGGTACGAAGATCGACGCTAGGGAGTAGTGATGGACACGAGCATCTTGAGCAGATTGTGGGGGTTAGCATGGTCTGATCAAAGTATAGTCGGTTATGATCGATTTTGCTCCAATAGGGTTGCTTTCCCATGTCAAAATGTGATGGAAGTTAGTTTCGTTCAATCCCATTTTCAGCTACCAAAACTTTGGCTAATAAAGTCGCTTTTCCTAAAGACAGCTACTCCAAGGCAGATATGTATGGATAGAGTGATCGATCATGATCGGTCACACTCGAGTATGGTCGTGTCCATCGCTATTAAAGAGCTCAAGAAAGATCTCAAGGGCGACATCAACGGGCTTAGGGAAGACATGGATAACATGGAAAATAATCTTCAGACCGGGATTAAACGTATTGGTGCGAATGAAAAGATCGATTTTCTTGAGGCTAGGGAGCAAAAGCTGGAGAATAGGGTGGAGGGTCTCAACACTAAGGTGGGGAAAGTGGACTTGAAAATCGAAACGCCTGAGAAGTGTACTGGGGAAGCTGCAGGGTCGATCTTGTGATAGCAACTGGGCGGTTGTGGGCCTAAATAGACTTAGCCTTGACAAAGCAATACTGGTGGCTTTGTCAGGATGTTATGGCCACCGGACTGGGTTTTTTAATGGCGCTGGAATGGCGCTATGAGCAGCGTTTGCTCTTTAAGAAGAGGCTACGAAAATAAATGTGCTTTAAACTTAATCAGAATTGAATTGATCAACTGCCAAACTGCGAACAGGTGGACAGGTTTAGCCCTGAAGGATTTGACATGATAATGGGAGGAGTTAGCCACGAGGTATGAGAGCAGAGCGAGTCTATGTTGGGCTGCGACAATTGTTTCGTCACGATTTTTAAGGTTTGGACCAACGGTAGGTATTGTTTTATGGGACTATAAATGGGTTTACAGTTGCTTTGTATTAGTGGTTAGTTTTAGGGTTTTGGTTCACTTGTTGCAATCGGGCCATGGATTATTGAGATTCTATGGAATTTTCGTGGTATTCTATATATTTTCGATACATAGATCTTTTTTTGTTTTTGACATGAGAAATCTTAGTAAAGCGGCGCAACTGGGATGCAAAGTGATTGGGCAAGTGCAATTTTGCCCCCAAGATACCGGTAGCAGATTTCACACCAAGATATTACCACGCTGGAGAAAATCCGCGAAAACATGGACAGTCCATAGAAGCACCACTGAAAGCAGTGAGGGAGGACATCACTTTCTATATATTATACAGATGTCCACTCAAACTCAAACTCCTCAAGGGTGGAATCATACTATAATAGAGAGACTAGTGTCCCCACAACCTTAGACAGTGCTGGGGGGTTGTGGCTTCTAGGGTTTTCCCTACCAGCCTCAGCACAGCTATCATACATTGCCGACGGCCGGTAGTGTGAACGAGTGGCATACATCCCAAGTTGTCTAACTCTCGGTGATCAAGATTTCCTCGTTCCAGCATGACAGGAGCTTCACCACTCCATGATGCTCATTGGCTGCCTCCCTCCCCCCCACAAGAGCGGTGTCCTCTTTTCACAGTCCAACCTGTCAAGGCTGGCGACTTCTCTAGCCGGCCAGCGGTAAAAGCTCCACGGCTCCCTGATGCACGCACTCCCGGCAGTCCATGGAAGTGGTGCCCAGTCCTCATACTGTGGTTTGTAGGGGCTGACATCCGCACCCACGTTTAATAGGAGTCTTGTGGGTCCATCGTTGTTCGTTCCCGGCCACGAAGGAGAGTGGTATTTGGTCCTCGATATTTTCTGGCATGTCGGGTCTGATTTTATCTTCTCGTCTTGGCAGTGGCTTGGCCACTCCCGTCAACCTGGGAGAGTGATGTTCCGTTGGCATTGCTCCAGTTTGTACATATATGAGAGGAGAATTACAAGTAAGTCGCTTGCTGCTGTCGATGTGTGTTCGTACTTTTACTGTAACTTGAGATACATATTTTTATTTTTTTATGGTATCATACGCGGAAACAATTGTGATCAACTGCGGCATAAGCTGGGGGCGTTTTGAGGTGTTTTGCCCGCTCTCAAGCACTAACTAACCTCAGAGTCGCAGGGTATCAACTCATGGGAACTATTGGCAGAATTTGATTGGACATTTTTTTGGCCCTCAGTCTCCCCACAACCTATCATACCTTGACCTCTGCGGTGGGTCGAGTATTGGGTAGGGCAATATCTTATACACGCAGCACCCGTATAAGTGCTGTTGGAGGAGAGTCCGGTTCTCTAGCAGATAATCACTTATTGGCACTATATGATTTCTAGTAGTAGCAAATGTCTTGTTGGGGAGGAGGAAGTTCAAGGCTAGGAAGTGGGCTTTCTATGTGTTTCTGGATTTCTTCGCGCATATTTTGAGTGGTTACATCAATGCTTTATGGAGTTGTGGTGGGGGATGGTAAAATATCACTCGGGGGCATCGGACAGGAAATGCCATTACTCTTGGTAGCTCTTGATAGCTAGGTACAGTGCCTAAGGAGGGAGAGATGGAATCAACTAGATATTTGAAAAAGGGGGAGGCATCAAGTCAGAAGTTTTCGGTAAAGTATGAGTGGTGGGGGGCAAGATCGGATCATGCTCGATCACTCTATCTGTATATATAGGAGTTTGTAATCATGTGATATCATCTATTGATAAAAAAGTCTGCCTCGTATGATACACTTGATAGAAACAAATCTTCAACAACAAGACTCTCTATTGTTAATTCTTTGATGCACTTCCCTTCGAAATTCGCGTTTATAATGGAATCGAACAAAAAGTTTAAATCTTCTATCAGATTTTGACATCGAGCGCTATTCTAGGGGGGAAAACAGACCGTAATCGACCAAGACTCAAGTATGATCGGGCAGTGGTCACGCTCGGGCACTCGGTTAGGGTCTACCAATTTGTGTTGAAACATACTTCTCGCACTACTGTGGTGTCACTTGTACTATTGCCTTTTCTCCTTACATCAAACTTTATCGCACATCTCCGTAGATATCCTGCACTATTGAAGATACCTCCTTGCATTTCTCTCGCTCTTCTTTTCCTTGTAGTTGTTATTGTTCGCTCGACCTACTGTATTTGTCTCGCTCCCAATAGTAGATACCGGTAGTCAGGGTCTTAAACCCTTCCCTTTGAGATAGTTAAGCATTCCAGTTTTTCAGGTAATCAATCACTTCTTTGTATCTCGTATTATCGTTTCTATTCAAAATTTCCACAACAATTTTCTCGAGCATTCGAGCACGGGGTCCTCTCGGTTAGATCATGCTCGAGGATAACCTTCATATCTGCTCGGATATGCTTGTTGCCGTCACTCACTATTTACTTTGCTAGAACTTGGAATCGGATGCGGTACTTTCCATGCGTTACGTCGTGCAAGTTCTCCGAGACCCAGAAGCCGGAGAGAGAGAAAAGGACAAAGGAACAGGAAAAGGAAAGGGATAGGCAACAAAAACTATGGGTAAAATAGCAAGAAAAACATGTGGGTTGTGAGCTAACTCACAGTCCTGTAGCATCTCTGACCAGCTCTTCCTTCGCTTCAGTTCGGCTTATGTCGAGGGCTGGTGTCCGGGATTGAAGTTAAATTATCCCGCAGAGGTCTGCTTGTGCCGTAGACGACTTGATCGCAAACCTGTATGTCAACGGTAGCAAATTCGTTATACCCTGTGCCTGCAACTGACATCACCTGTCTCTAAACTGATATTCGAGAATATTCCGACCTGATTTGATTCTCTGAGATCCGGTACCATCACCTCCTAAGGTGGTGTCGCCATTTCTCCTAGAACCTGGACCTCCCCATCTGCCATGATCCCCCATCTTTTTACGAAGTTCAATACTGGCGGCGCTGGTTCCACTTTGCTGATCCTCATCTTCATATACTCACTTCCATTTTCTGCGGGCTTAGCCATCACCGTAGGCTAAAGCGATCAGACTTGTATAGTATGTTCTACCCCTAGGTTCTTCCTCCTCATTGTCGGTTTTGTCGTCCGTGTCACTCTCGCTGCTTGTTTCATTCACGGGGTGGAATTCGCTCCTATCTGCCCCCATCCCCTGCTGCTCCATCACTATTATCCGTGACTGTGTCCTCATCACGAAGCACTACTTCAGCCACCTCTGGTACCGCAGCTTCATCTGCAGCTGCAGTTTGTGCAACATGCTGCCACCTCTTTTCCTTCTGCTTAATGTTTTGCTCCTTGTTAGCTGCTTCTATCCCTTCTCATTTATACTTTCCGGCAAAAAGAATAGGCCACCAAGTGTGTATTTTCAATCCGCCCTTTCAACTTTCGTGGTGAATGTGATAGAGAATGGAGATACATACAGCGTTTCGCCCTACTGACCCAGGTACTTAATGGTGTAAACCCCACATTTTTCTGAGGGGCTTTCATCGCGGAAACTGTTGCTGGTGGTGTAAGATGCTGAAAACGCCTAGCCAGATTGAAGACGTATTCAAGAACTAATAATCGGATAGCTCGATTTGGACTCAATAGGGGTGTCTGGATTCGTGGATCTACTTTGTCGGATGCACATGACTACAGCCCTCGATTCTTCTACCGCTTGA